CTTATATAAAATAAATTTAATTTAAAATAAAAAAATATTGAAAATCAAAGTAAAAAGGGGATAAAAAATAAAGATTTAATATATTAAATGACTAATTATATATATTTTTTACTTGAACTTTTTTTTTAGATACTGTCAAAATATTTTTTCGCTTCATAAATGCTAGTCCTGTAATTATTAAAACGTCCTTTAATGAATTTTATATAAATAAGAAATTTAAAGTGCAACAAGTCTTCATTTACCTTTAACGTGCGCTTCCTAGATGTATTATCAATTGCACTGTGTTTTCAAGCTTGGGAGTAGAGAAAATGTTCTTGATTTCCTTTCAGTAGTAATCATAAATCATTGATAAAACGTCGTCGGCATGAAATATATTTTCCATATATTTGCAATTTATAACAATTTATGTGTATGCGCGCCTGAATGCGACTTTCGTCAGCTTCCGTACGTTGTGCCTGGTCATGGACTGGGAACAGAGCAATTAGTCAACTCGCGTCGCTCGTAATAGAAACTAATGACTGCTGCCCCCTACCCCCCTCCCCCCCCTACCGGCGGCCGTCCCCGCTGAATTCCAGCTGTAGTTATATAATTGTACTGAAATGCATTCCACGAAGCCTATCAAAATATTTCTTGAGAGATGCCGTCGATTTCGAGACAAGTGTAGGGGCGCTCTGTGAGTGAAATTTAACTTAATTCAATTAATTAATGGTCTTAATAACTTTATCTGCTTTGACAACTCTGATTGAATACGGCACGCAGTTTTTATGTCTGCAGGAAATAGAAATGGAAATAAAAATATAAATACCATAGAATTCTGAAAATGTTGTAAATCTATAATTGATTAAGAAATTGTTTTTTATTTGTTCTTGCTTAAAAAATTATAATTGTTTGTTGTTTATAGCTCTCAATACACATACAATGTCTTTGTTCAATATATTTTGCTACATAGTATTCTTTTTGGTTTTATATGTGTATTTATTTAATTTTGTTCATATCCTATATCATCTACGTATTGAGCACTAGAATTTCAGTAGTAAAATATATATATCATATATATTAAAACATTTAGAAATTTTGCTTTACATTTTCTAAAACTTCATTTCACTTCATTTTGAATCAGTTCATGCACAGTTTCCTAACTCTTTCCACATTCTTTTAGACAATTACAACATTGATCTTCAAATAATCGCATCATATAGTATCATATTATTTCATATTGTATTTCTTGATACGTCGTCGAGCAGTCACAACGAAATCGCATTCCATTGTCCCAATCTAACCTTGATTCTGCTCCTTTAGGCTGAAAAAGTTGGTTGCTTTTGTTACCTGTCTCAATGGGACAACACACAGGTAGCTGCAACCCTAACTCAATAATCTTATTAGAATTCGTTAGCTGAGTCCAACCACTTGGGCACATAAAGCGGTTTCGTTTGTGTGCGTGTTGGATTCCCTCTCTCGCTTCACTTCATTCAAATCGTTTTGATGTTGTTCGCGTCGCTCAGTTTTTGTCTGGCTCATCAAATTGACGCCCGACTGTCTATACGGGTTTTATGCTATCGTCTGCATCGATAATATTGTCAAAAAGAGTTGAAATTCGTATCTTTTTTATCCCATCGAACCGCAAGAAAAATTCCAGTGAGGCTGAGTCATGCCATTTCATGGAAGTGCAGTAGATAATAAATGGACATAACCGGACGGTGATCGCAAAACGACATCGAACAATAATATTAATGAAAAATTGTTAATTTCCTTCTTATATAATTTTGTATATCAATGATATTTCTATAGTTCAATTAATTCCGCTTACTTGAGAAATGAAAGAATTAGAGAATGATCAATCGATTCGCCTCTCTCTTTTGCTACAATCATATGCAGTACAACTCTACAGTGAATTCTTAAAGCTTTACGAAAAGCTTTTTGCAAAGCTTGTAGTGAGTATCAAAACCTTTGATAATCTCGATTAATATTCATTTCATTTAAGAGTGAATCGATGATTATGGTAATATAAGGTATATCGAAAGATTTTCTTACAGAATCATAAACATCATAAAATATTTTAAAAATTATTTACTTAATTTTTTTCAACTTATGTCAATTAGGTTTTACTAACTAATTTAATATTTTGGTTGTACTAAAAAGTTTATTTTTTATTTTCAGTCGTTTTCTTTGTTTATTAGATATAAATAGCTTACGAAAATTTGTCAATAAACAGTATAGCTGTTAAATTGGTCGATGGAACTATCGATCAAATAAAATATCTACTGGTCCCCCAGCTAATAGTTAATAACATGATAAGCACTGCAGTATAGGTATAAACAGTATAAGTCATACTGAGATAACAGAACAAATTATTTTATTGTATCCTTTTCCTGTTTTTATACCCTTAACCCATTTTCAATGGGAAATCAGGGTATAATGGTTTTGTTAAAAGTATGTAACAAGCAGAAGGAGGCGTGGCAGACCCCACAAAGTATATATATTCTTGATCAGGGCGACGAGCTGAGTCGATTCGCTGTCTGTCCGTCCGTCCGTCCGTATTTATGAACGCGTCGATCTCAGAAAAATTTCAGAGCTAGAGACTTGAAATTTTTTTCTTACGTCCGTGTATATCACGCGCAT